CCTATTTGGTGTATAAAGGAAACGTCAATCTTCAGCGCTGTCCTTTTACACGTACTATGTTCGACACTAAAACTAAAATGAAACAACAACTGATAACCCAACGTATATTGTCAAACAATCTAGAATACCTGGAGTTTCCAAAAGGTAAGTAAATAAACTAATTATCTGACTAACTAATTATTAAGTAGTCAAGACCAAGATGCAATACTTCAGGTTGTCATAAGGAATTCATGTTGCCTAGGTGGGGCATGATGTTAGCCACATCAGTTAGAACCAATACTCTAATTATCCCTATAATAGAGTATCCCTATAATACTCTAACAGTTCCCTCCCTGCCACGTATATCAATACACATAGTGGAGTGTGGGGATGATGGTGTTCAGGGTGAAACTGAGGCAGAGCATAATTTCATAGTAGCTAGGGTCAGGAGGGACCTGAACAGATCATCTAGCCTGACCCCCCATTTTTGCATGTTTGGCAAAAAACCCTTAAGTCTGAGGAAGGGCAAGTTTGGCAGAACAGCCCTGCCACTTTTAGCTACAATGCATCACTCATTCTTTTTCAGAGGCTTTTATTCAAAAACAATTGCTGAAAGTAGCCTACCAATGTTTCCCCTAAAAGATAATAATAAAAAAATGACCCCCATTTAAAGAAAAGCATCATAAAACAAAGGAGGCATGGAGGGTCTTTTTCTTTTGCAGACAGAAATGGTGCTGTTCTTAATATTGTTTATTAGCAGTGTGCAGAGTGACTGCTACGCGGTTTAATATTTCAAATTGTCCACCTATCTTCCCTACAGCACTTTTCCAAAGATAGCAGGCCAAATGGTAAAACTAAGCAACAGACATAGCATTTGTTTTATTCAAATAAAACCAAATTTTGAAAAGCAGCCTCCAGAAAAGCAAGAATGAAAAATAGACAAAGCTTTCCAGTAGACAAGATACACGACTATATTTGTGCCTGAAAGCTTTGATTTATAAGGTTCAGATTAATCAATATTCCTTGGCATTTAGATGACTATTGATATTCATTAAAATGTATGTGAATCCCAAAATGTATGTAGAAAGTATATGAATCCCAGTTATTAGCCTGAAACCCCTAACCAATATAAATGTTATTTGCTACTTATTACATGTTATTCTGTAACAATGATAAGAAATACCGCCATATGAATTAGGGTGCTAGGCACAAGAGTCAATGTGGGGGAGAGGGGGGCATACAGTGGCCTTTCTCCCTCAGTGGCCTGATCAACCCCTTCTCCATCTTCCATTAACCACACAGTGGGAGCAGCAGCTAGGGACTGTTTTTAAATCCCTGAAGCAAATAAGAATTCCCCCCTTCTTCTCCCGCTATACTCAGAAGCACCCCCCCTGCCTCCCATCCTTTCTTGTCCATTGCTATCTTCAGCTACTGTAGGGGCGGGGACAGAGAGGGGAGCTACAGAGACACTCCTGCTGGCTATAGCTGGGCTTCAAACAGTGCTGCTTTCAACCAGGGCCAGCAACAGGCATGTTCAGTCCTAACCACTCCCTCCAGTGTTCCCTGCCAGCCCAGAAGCAGGCTCAGTGGAACAAAACCCTGCCTGGTGCCACCACTGCCATTGCTGTCCTTTGCCAAGCTTGGCTCCATGTGTAGCTCAGCTAAAACAGGACAGGAACCCCACCAATGCCCCCGGGTCAGCTGGGGATGATGCCAGGTAGGGGACGGGGTGAATAAGAGGGGATGAGAGGGAACTTGCCACTGAGCATGAAGAGGAAGGAGCGGGGAGGGCGGATTCTTACCTGCTGGAGGGACTTAAAAAAGGCCCCTTTTGCTGCTCCTTCAGCAATACCCTCCCTGATGTGCTGATGGGAGGCTGGGAGCCAGGGTACAACCACCCCTGCAGCACAAGTTGCTTTTCCAGCACCCCCTATCCAAAGTACTGGATTCACCCATGGCTAGGCATACACCATTATCAATGGAGAGTAAATGTATTGTGGATAAATCAGACTGAAACCTACTTGTCTAAACTTTTACTTGGTCTACAATCTTGAGATCAATGGCCACTATTTTCTGCTGAGGGTATAATGTTGCTGGTGATTCACATTAAGACCTCTTAGTTCTTGCTCAATACTACTTCAGAGCCATGTTACAGCCATTTTACGTCACTCTGCCAACATAAAGGGACCAGAACCCAGATGGATTTACCGATTAAAACATCTTTCTGATATAGCAGGCGTGAGGCTTTTTGAGCAGCATCTCTCTATGGGCAGAGATAGGAAGGGACATTGCAAAAGCACGCTGCTCTGGATAGTTTTTCCATAGACATTTGGGCTAGAAGGGACCCCGGAGGATCATCGAGTCCAGCCCCCTGCCCCAGGGGCAGGAAGTCAGCAGGGATCATAGGATCCCAGCAAGATAAGCATCCAAATGTGTCTTGAAGGCGTTCAAAGTGGGTGCTTGAACTGCCTCCGGCAGCAGTCTATTCCAAACCTTGGGGGCTCGGACAGCGAAGAAGTTCTTCCTTATGTCTAGCCTGAATTGGTCACGGTGGAGTTTGTGACCATTCGATCTTGTCATCCCTTGGGGTGCTCTGGTGAACAGACATTCCCCCAGATCCTGATGAGCACCCCTGATAAACTTATAGGTGGCCACAAGATTGCCCCTGAACCTGTGCTTTTCCAAGCTGAAGAGTCCCATGGCTCTCAGCCTCTCATCATAAGGCCTGTTTTCCTGACCTCTGATCACACGTGTGGCTCTCCTCTGCACCCTCTCAAGCTTCTCCACATCCTTTTTGAATTGTGGAGCCCAAAACTGGATGCAGTACTCCAGCTGCAGCCTCACCAAGGCCAAGTACAACAGGAGAATGATGTCCTAGGATTTGCTTGAGAAGCATCTATGGATGCAAGCCAGCGTTTTGCTCGCTGTACTAGCCGCAGCATCACATTGAAGTCTCATGTTCATCTTGTGGTCAATGATGACCCCCAAGTCCCTTTCATCTGTAGTGCTAACCAGTGTAGCACTAACAAGCCTATAAGCATGCTGCAGGGTTTTCCTCCCAAGGTGGAGAACCTTGCATTTTTCGGTGTTGAACA